AATGGAAACTACTATAATGGGTGACTCATGAGGCCTGGCTGGACGACGTTTTCCTGGTCCAGCTGTATGCGATGGTGCTTCGGGGCTGGTTATTCTTTGTGGGCCTCATGTGGATGCAGCAGTTGCTTCTGCATCGCCTATGCTGTCTACAGTTCAGCTCTGGTCAAGGCTTCCGACTTAGAAGGCTGAAGTTCCTGATGGGCATAGAGATCGTGAGCGCGGTGTTCGTGGTAGTCGTTAGCATACCGCTCTTCCGAGCTGTTCAGTACAACTCCCGAGAGTGGCTGGGATGTTGTTCAAGGAGTCCATTTTAACAAATGGTGGGGCAGCCCCTTTTGTGGTGAGGCACTGATCCCTTGCTAGTGATGGTTAAGTTCCACGTGTACTGCCTTAAGCCCTAAGCCCTGAACCCTCTAATTAATGATCAGGCAAAACCTTCCGTATTCTGTCTCCTTGCGTTGGTACGCAAGCGTCCTTGATTCTCCAATTGTCTGAGTGGTTGATCGCCTAAGGTTTTGGGTTGAAGTTCTATGCGCGGCGGCCGCTACAAATTTCCTACTGTACTGCGTAAGCGCAGTTCTCATGATGGAATCCATGTGGGGCGTCCTCTCCTCCATTCAGAGTGCGATTGCAGGGAGCAAAGCGTCACCTGCAACCGGCAGCATGCTTGAGCTGCAGCTCGCGGGTCAGCTGACTCGTCGCCAGCTCTTGGGAGTCTTCGCAAGTGTCTTGATGAGTTTCATCGTGCTTCCAAGCGTGGTGGTAGAGTTCTGCATCATCGGCCTCAAGGACTGGAATCTGGAGCATATCCAGGGCGCAATGCTCCGCAACTCTATCCTTCAGTCCTTTGACACCTTAGCCAACATCCTTGCGGCTGTAGTCCTCTCTGGTGGCCTCAGCGCAGAGGTTGCTTCCTCTTCCGCATTGAGAAAGCTGAGAGGAGCCATCAATGCACAGAGATCACAACCATCCGTTTGGTTCAGCTGCTGGGCCATTGTAGACACCTGCTCTTTTCTAGCTGAATACTGTTAGATGGGGGCTAAAAATTTGGAATCTTACACACAGACAGGGTCAACCATGAACAGTAGAGAGAAGTGCTGAACCCCGCCTAAGAAAAGTTCAAGGCAGATCTTGCACAGAATGCCTTGAGAAGCCATGGATGGGAAAGGTTGCCGAGCTTGCTGGGCGTGGTATTTCTTTGCGCCATCTGCTGGAGTTCTACAAGGGCTTGGGTCAAGAGTATATGCACCACTACTCTCCGGAGCACCACAGAACTTCTGACGTGGTGAGGCAAGCGATTATACCTCTTACCAAGGCACCGGTCTTGAAAATTTAGGCTCGTTTGGCGTGCTCTCACAAGGTAAAGTCATTGCACTAGCCTGAGATTTCTCAACTACAAACTACACCTCAACCCTCGCAAGCCATAATCTTACCGGTGGTTAGTGGGGAACAAGGGATTACAATCCCTACAATCCCCACATTCCCTTAGTCCCTACTAGTCCCCAGTAAGTACTTGAGCCCTGAAGGAGACCATGAACTCCTATGCGAGCATGGTAAACAATGATGCTCCAACCTTGTATCTGGGAGAATGGTGAGCACCTATGGGTTTAGGGTTTAGGGTTAGCCATTTTTCCAGTTCGAAGCTGTTGCGAATTTGATGAACCTGCACGCTGGTGGTTGACATGCCATTAGTTGTTTTCTTTGCATCCTCAGAGTGAACCCCGTTTTTGCGGAATATGCGCAAGCCTTAGATTTGTTTTGGCAAGGTTGGCTGCCCGTTTCCGGGAGGAAAAGTATCAGTTTAAGTAAGTAGGGGCACTGCTTGCCAATTTGGGGTCCTCGAAGGTTCTGCAAAGGATTCAAAAGATTTCCCTTGCGGGAGGGGCACCGAAAGCTAAAAAATGATAGTCAACTGACTTGAAGCAAACAAAAATAATCAGCGAGCAAACGGAAGATTCCAATTCATTTTCCACAAGCAACTGTGGTTTATTTGGGTTTCATTTAGTTTGCAAGCCCAAACCACGGAGCAACAGGCCGGCCAAGATGGTAACGCATAATTGGGGGAATTTGTTCAACCACCTGATGGCCGCGATCATCTCAGATGCACTGAACGAACCCAGTGCCTTCCTGCAATTGGGCGTTTGAGTATACAGATGTTACCCCCCAATAATGGAGAATCAAGCGGAACAGGACGTGGAGAATGATATGGAAACTGGGGTTATATAGTGGTTGACAGTTCCTTTTGAGACCTACTGGTCCGCTAGGTTGCAGGTTTAGAGCTTTGGGTACAGTATCAGACTTTCTTGCCCTACAAGTACCCCACATGAGCTAGAGTCTAAGCTCCTAGTATCCCCCCTTAATAACCCTTATAATACTCCGTATAGAATCCCCTACATAATTCCCTTTAACGAGTTCAGTCTGTAGCTCACATGGGCAAGTTGCTGTTTGAGGGAAGCGCGGACCATTTTTTGAAGAGATGTTTGGGAGGCATAGTTAGGTGCAACCTAACTCATCCCCCCTACAATCCCCATAGGTTGCTTGTGAAACGCAAGAGTAGGGTTTCCCAACATTAGGGGTACTGTGCCATTTTGGGGCTACCTATAATAAGGTCTACAGCAAATTGGTGTCTATATTAGGGTCCCCTTATTTAGGGAAACTACTGTGTAGAGTTTGGAGGCTTCCAGCATTCGGTTTCAGGTGTGAGCAGGTGGCCTGGGAAGATCTGGGAAGCATAAAGGCAGGTGAGCGATAGCCTAAACTCTTTAGGGGGGTTATATAGGGGAATATATAGGGGAGTATGATAGGGGTTAATAAGGGGAATACTAGGAGTTTAGACGAAAGCCCAGGTTTTGCCATGGTCGCCAAACTGCTTGTATCCGACCTGCCAGTTCCTGCGGAAGACTTGGAAACATGTTTGTTGGTGTTCCTAAGCCTAACACCCACATGTTTTTTTTAAGCATGAGACCCCCCAGGATGAGGATTATCACATTTTGGGTGCTATATCGGGGCCCCCGTTTACAGAGACAACCCCGTATGGTATCAAAAAAATACGTAGAATTTCTGGTTTGAAGAGCTTCCCGATGTGGACCAGGTTCTGGAGGACATGATTGCGCGTCTGGGAAAGATGGAAACAGTGCAATTGGGCCGTCCTGGTAGGCATGTTTTTTCTGCGCACTTGGGGTGTGTTGCGCGGCCTGTGTAGACATCATGGTGGCGGATGGCAAGCGGCATGTTCACCCCTAGTAAGCTATCAGCAAGTCCGAGACGCAAGCCCCAAATTTGTGCATACTCTGATCCTTGGCCCAGTGGCAGCTCAACATGAAATCACATGAACAAGATTCCCAAGTTGTCGCCCCAAGCCCTTCCGAGGTACTGGGTGTGTTGTTTCTCCGTAAATCAGCACTCCACCATCTGCGGAGAGAATCTGACTGGTGACAAGGACCCCGTGACGGGGCTCCAGCACCCAACTTGCTTTTGCAATCTGCCGAAGACTCTCAACCAGACGCCACCGCTCGATGACACTGGTAAGAGCACCTTCAGAGTCTAGTGAGTAACCTTTCCTTTTGATTTTGCTTGGGGATGTTTAAAGAAATCCTGTGAGAACCAGGTTTCCACAAGGGAACTGGACAAGTAAGGCATAAGTTGCGAGCTGAATAAGTTTGACAGCATGATGAGCTACCTGGCATGTCGGCACGAACTGCAGCAGGCGGGCTTGTTTCAAACCCTGAGGGGCACTTACTGGATAGTGATTCATTGTATGGGGATGGTTTGGGAAATGAAGCTCAACAATGGGGTTTCCCCTTCTGTAGCCCAAGATATGACAATCATGAACATGGAGTAGCTAATGGGTTTTGTATTTTGTGTAAGGCTTGTCTTAGGAGACGTGCTCAGGTCATTGCTATCGATGCCAGCTTTTGCTTGTTCCAACGTGCCTGGTGCATTGCGGAGCTTGTTGAGGCCCACAAGAACATGATTCCACAACATCTGAAGGTCTTCTCTAGGTCCAAGCTGTATGGTACGGAGGAGCAGCTGAGAGATCTCAGAGTTCAAGACATGAAGGCCACCAGGTCTGAGGATGTGGATGAAATTCTCTGCAAAATTCCAGACAAAGATGCCTTTAACCAATTCCTGCAGCATTTGATTTTCGACACAGGGGGCTTGCTGGATCAATGGCATCGAGGGGATGCGTCCCAGCAGATGGGAGGCGTCGGCCGCCTCCTGAAATGGAGCCGCTCAGGATTTGACATCTGGCCATTGTGGGAATACTGAAACGCCCTTGTCAAGTATTGGTGGTTCAGACCCTCAAACCCAGATCCACGTGACAGCTTAACCTGTACAAGCCAGGGTAGGTGTTCCTGGAGCGCTCTTGCGTTTCGAGGGCATCATGGATTTTCAACCACCACTGTTTTCAACGCAAGGGGCGTGTACAACATCCTCCCATGCCACATCTGCTGTCTGCTAAGTGTTTGATTGCCGCAGTGTGCATACACAAACAGCCCCGTGCAACTTACCTTCATCCAGCGAATCCAGCTGGGATGGTTTGGCTCTATCTTTGAGCACAGACAGACTGCCACAGGCATCACAAGAAAGAAGTAGCAAGCAGCTTAGTGAACCAGGTAGAAAAGATTGCTTAGACTCCCCAGTCTGTTTGTGGGATGATGGGATAACATGAGCCCAGGGCCTAGGGAGGCTATTTGTAGTTTGACAAATGGCTCCGTGGCCTAGCATGCTTTTCTTTCATGGAAACTCCCTGGAGCTTCCAGCGTGGTGGATGTGGACCCGAGCATGTACAGCAGGAGCCGGGGATACATCCCGGAGCACAAGCCTCCCATTAAATGAACACCATTATCACATAAGAGAAGCTGCAGATAAGTACTGGACATCAAAAGCCAAGATCTATTGTGTACGGGGTAGGGCTTACTGATGCTTTCCCTTTGTGACCTCAAAATGTACTCCTTGTACCCACAGACCATGCAAGCCCTGGTGCTGATCGAGACTCAAAGCATGAAAAGCACGTCTTCGGATGATCCCCATTTCATGGCCAAGATTTCTTCCTAAAATCCAAAGTTAAACCCTTCTGCTGTAAGTAGATAGCCCCTACACTACCATCCCGTCAAACCTCTGTGTAATCAAGGTCTCGATTGCCATGTTATTTTCCTTTGAAGTCTCCATCATTTCAGTTGCTTCGGGGCCTGAGCCTTAAACCCAGCAAACCTTGCTTGAAACGAAGAGAAAACCAAAAACTATAGAGGGTTCCCAAAAGTAGAGGTCCCCTTAACCAGAGGATCATAATACATTGGGGTCTATATTGGTTCCCCTTTTTTTGAGAAACTACCCTACTAATCCTAAACCCTGAGCCATACGTACTAAAACCATTGAAGTTCAGCATGCCCATACAGTGGTGAGTGCACAGTTTTCGGCAGCAGGTCCAGCTTGGACACAGCGCCTGCAAGTTTAAAAAAAGTTGCGCGGAAGTATCCGCATGGGGCTGAGGCCTTTGGCAAATAGAGCATAGGATTTTGCCCTGAACCCTGAATCCTAAACCCCAAAACCCTAAATCCTTTAGGGTTTAGTGGCTCAAGGTCCAGGGATAGTAGGCTTAGCGCCGCGGGATGGCTTACATGCTGTCCATAAGCCTGCTTGCTCTTATAGCCCAGTAGCCTGCTTATATGTCTATCTATATATACACAGATATACATAGGGGTTATAGGGGAATCTTATGGGAATTATTAAGGAGGATACTAGGAGTTTAGGCTTCAGCTCTTACAGCCTGGTAGCATGCTTCACATCAGCAGCATCATGGCAAGTGTGGACCTGCCATGCGTGCGCTAGCCCTAAAAGGGTGGGTGCTATCCCCGAGTAGTATGAAAGAAGCCCAACCCAACGCCCCGATGTAAACCGCAATTATGTCCTCCAACAAATTTCCGCGATGGGCAACATTTGGCAGTAGGCGGCGGGCAATTTTTTCAATCTGGCTGGAAGCGGGCATGCAGCTCTACAAAGCAATGAGAGGGTCATTGGCAGTCATAAGCTCAGACGAATGTTGCACCAGTGGTTGCACCCATGGGACCCTTTTTGGAACTGGGCATAAGGGCTTAAGGTTTAAGGAGAATCTCTAAGGAAAATCTCTCAACCTCAACCCCCTAAATCTCCAACCCCAAGTGCCATAAGCAACTGCAACCTTGCCACCCAACCTTCCAATCTTCTTGTTACCTGAGCACTGTGCAGGATACACACTGGGAATAGTTCAAAATTCGGTGGACCTCCTGGCCCGGACATCGAGCAACTACAGTCTTGTTTTGTGTTGCCATTGTGACTTTTTAGATGTTTCTTGGGAAAAAATCCCTCAAAACTGCGGGGGAGCCACCCCCCCAGAATCCTAGCAGAAGGTTACCAGCACCCATTCAATGGGGTTAATAAGAATGACATTTTTTGCAAAGGCGGGACTCCAGACTCTGCTGATTAGACCCCAAGATGTTACAAATCCTTATTCTAGGCCCCCCTCAACAATAGAGAGCTTTTCTATTTCATCGTCCATTTTCTTGTCCATGTGATTCTCCATTGCTGGGGGGAATACCCCTAGAATCCCCCTATAACCCTCAATAATGTAGTAGCTTCCATCTTCTTTTCCCCCCATATATCCTTACGTGAGCCACTGTCTAAACTCCTGGTATCCCCCTTAAGAACCCCTATAGTAGTCCCTATACAATCCCTTACATAACCCCCTTTGAGTAAGGAGATTAGACTACAGTTCACATCGTGTTTATGGAAACCCCCAAAGTCATGGCAGGGCTCCATCGTGGAGGAGATGGAGAGCAGAGGACAGGCCTTTGCCGCCTTCGGCTCACGAGTGGCCGGGCTGCAGGGGCAGAGAGGTCTAGGGTTCAGGGCTTTATAATAATAAGAATAACAACAATACAAATCATACTAGTAATTAAATAAGAATAACAACAATAATAATAGCAATCAATAATACGAATAACAACAATACTAATAATGATACTATTATTCCACTATCGTTATTACTATTATTGTATTACTATTCTTCAAAAGCGTGGCCCACATACCCATTGGTTTGTGGTTGAAGGTGATTCTTTTGGGTATTTGGGAGGCCCAGGAAGGGTTTAAGGTGTGGGGTTAAAGGTTTTGGGAGGGCTTAACCCAAGATGCGGCCTGCTGAATGGGGCAGACATGTGTCCCATGTCTGTGGCGTTGTATCCGCTCCATCCTTACTAGCCCCTTTCCTGAAACTCTTGAGCGTTACACCGTGAACTCGTCAATCCCCAAGCCCCAAAACCGCGAACCCAGTAGGGCCTACTGCAAAATGGGGTTTTTCCCAAGTACTGCAAACTCTGAGCCCCAAGGATCACTGGCTGCACCAGCTGTTGAACCAGCATCTGCCTTTGGCTGCTGGGGCAGAAGCCATTCGGATTTTTGCGGTGGAAATGTTAGAAGTTCGTGCCGAGGGCTTTGACTGCTTCAGGGTCTCTACAGATAGGTTGGGGTAAAAGAAGACAAGTGCCCTCAGAGCGAAACACGGCTCCTGCAAGTTTGGTTAAGCGCACTTAGGAATTCCAGCCAGAGAAGCTCAAACTACTAAGCCTGGCTTGTGACGCATAGCGCCTCACCCCAATGGCCTCATGACTAGAAGTTGGAATCCGTTCTGCGTTGATTTAAGGTCATCCTCTTTCCCGGGCCCTTATGACAGGCCGTGGCCCACATTTCAGAAACCTGAATGATCAGTTCTATAAAGGACACGACTTGAACCACGAGCCCTTGTACTTTAAGCAGCTATAATATACTAAGATATATCCTAGAATCCTGCACGCAGCAGGTCCCCGGCCTGAGAACCCTCACCGTGGATAAGGTTGAAGCCCTAGATCCAGAAGACTTGGCAAGGGAGCAAAGCGCAGAGCTTAGCGCGCAGGCTGTTTATAGGTTGCATTGCGGCTGAGTGCTCCAGGTGCTGTGGCGGGGTGGAGGGGGGTGGAGTGAAGGTTCAGGATTTGAGGAAGCAACGGGCCCTAGGCCCTAGGCCAAGGGTTTAGAGCCTTCGGCTAAACAGCTCAGGTGCAGAGGCAGGTCTGAATCAGGTTCCTGGGTTTGGTTCTGGAGTACCCATACTCAGGATAATGGTATATTACGGTGTATGAGTATTAGGAACACACTGTTTTGTGGAAACTACTAGGAAGTTCCAGCCTGCGTCACTCACTGAAGTGGGAGGTTGAGAACCCTGTTCTTCTTAAGCTCAAGCCTGTTTCAACCACAGGTCCCGCAAACCTTACAGGGTACTATTACCACATACAGCGATTCTACTTTCTAAGCCCACCTATGCTGAGGGACTCTACCGTCTAGGTCTTACAGGGGGCCTGAACCTGAGCTCCCCAGGTCTCCTCAGTTCGCTGGCGAGTACCCTTCGTAGTCGTGCAAAAGATCTGGCTGAGCTCATACGAGGCCTTGCAGATGAGTGCGTTGAAGGAGCTGGTATGGGTGGGAAGCTCTGACGATATAAGAGTTTCAGGGTCCCACCCAAACGTCAGGAAGGAGGGGCTTGGATCGGATCCTTGCATGCCTCCCACAATTCCTTCTCGCCACACAGTTCTTTTATTAGTCTTTTAACTCCTGAGCCTGAGCTCAGAACCTAAAAGCGCCCCTGCATTTGAAGCGATGAGCGAACAGTGACATGGTGTCCGCTATGCTTGCAACAATGTCTCCTATGAGTTTCCATGCTGCTGCTGCTGCTGCTGTCTCTTCGGTACCCCGCAGCCACCCAGTGCTTTCAGGAGCAGGGAGACATCTTTCTGCACAGCATCCCTCTTCACCTGAACCCCCAAAAAGAAGGCAAAGATAGGCAGCATTCCCTTGCCGAAGAGGCACGCCGCCTTGCGCAGACCAGCAAAAGAGCCTCTTGCGAGCTGCAGCAGCAGGAGGGGTGGGCTGCAGGTTTGAAGGAGAAACACCCAAATCAAGAATTATGCAAGACTTTTCCAGCAGGGGAGATGAGAAACGGAATTGCCAGGGGAGACAGAAGAGAAAATTGTCTTGAAGGTCATACATGGCAGAGCTATCTAGGTGGTGAGGGTCGAGCTTTGACCTTGAAAGCCTGGTTTGTACCAAAGACGCAGCTTCAGCAACCTACAGGCTCTGACACTACGTTTCCGGAAGCTCTTTTGTTAATTCTAGATTCTAGAAGCTACCTCAATGCCAGTTGAATTTGGAGATTTTGAGACTTCTATCCCGCAGTCCGTGGCCGCAAGGATGCGACGTTGAGCTGCTGCAGGTCGCGCAGCTTCCAGAAAAGGCACAGCCATCTCCTTCAGTTGAAGCTATGGGTAGAGTTGTTCAGGCTGTAGACTTGTTAAGAGTTGTGTTTGCGACCAGTCATGGAGCTGAATTGCATAGGCTCAAGACGTTTTACTCCCCAGATAGCAGATTTTTTCGGGCGGTTGTATACAGAAAGGGGGTCAGCACGTAGATCCCGGCTCAGGAAATTGTCCAACATGCTGGCTATTTGGGGTGTTTGCCGGTGAAACTTGTCCACGGAAAGAAAATCGGAAAAATGCTACCCAGTTCAAAGGCATTCATGTGCAAAGGCGACTCACAGCCCCCCCACTCGTCAGTCTGGGCCACAGTTCAACAAGTTCTCTGCCATGAATTTTAACATGTTAATCGTTTGCGCACCACTACTTTAAGGTAGGAACTGTCAGGCCGTTAGTCTTGGGAGGTTATATACTTCTTAGATTAAGGGCCATAGTTAAGGAACCCAGGACACAGGCATGATCTCCTATTACTAGCCCTAGACTACGGCTTTTGATGCTGCCCTTGCTAAATCGCCTCTGCTGGGGTCACTGGTCCCCAAAATCCAACCAGCCAGGAATCAAGGGCGAGCCCCTAAAATCGATTCGTAGGCCTCGTGTAATCGCCCCAAATGGGCCCCAGGACACATGCCTCTAACACCCTAAACCCTAAAACCTAGAGCTCTTCATGCTCCCCTGTAGGAGTTCGTAGACCTGGCCCTGAAAGCATTCTGGGCGCGGCGGGAGCACGTCCTGGACCCTGGCTAAGAGGGCTTCAAAGCAGGAATTCCATATAGGGTTTAGAGCAGCTTTTGTACGAGAGGTCCTCACGGTAAGGACCTCAACTGAACACTTGGGATACAAAATGACAGATGGGGTGAACCAATTTTGAGAGGCGCGCTCCATCGTCACGCAAGGTCTTGTAGCTAACATATGGGTTTTGGGTACCCCAAATCTTCGGCGTATCACAATGGGAGCTCAAACAGGAACCATAATTTTGACAACCTACCACATGACATGCTCACCAACATTCTTGCTAGTGGCAGTCGTGAAATGGCAGAAGCAACAAATCAATAGGAGAGATTGGGCGCTTGCAGTCCAAATATGAAATCCTCACACTGTTTCTTCTGGAGCTCTAGGATTCCGGATGAGTAGGTAGGATAGGATTCGTAGACAGGCGACATGCAAAGCTTGCATAAATAGCTGTGCTTCCCAAGTGATACTGCTGCTGGTGTAGGTCTCTTTCGTATTTGGCAGTTTCGCAAAATCATGTTGGGTGCCTGGGTGACAGTGGGTACTGTATAGCCTCAGACCACCTTTGTCTCCAAACCGTTTTCTACACCACCTCCATCCCCAGTCCCTAAATCCCTACACCCTCTATGTCGTAAATTCCAAAGACTGGCCACGCTTAGTGTTGCAGAAAGGGGAAAGGCGTCGTACCATTTCCTAAAACGTCTAAAGCCCATGTGACCCGTGGTTTTAATTTATGGTAAAGACGGACAAAGTCTTGGTCATGGGCAAGGTGAGACAGCTGATCAGGTGTCATCCAGTAATGGTGATAGATACAATTACTAGCAAAAGCATAGCTCGAAATCTGGGCACATTAATTGTGCGCAAGATTTGAGGTAAATTGCTGAAGCAAGTAGTGTTCGCGCCATTTATGGTCCACCCGTTTGAACACCCAATAGAACACACCCACCAATATTGCTAAGGATCCCTCTATACGCTCATTACAAACCAATGATTAATCCTACTTCAAGTGAGGACCAGCACTTCGCACAGCATGGGCCACTGGCTGCTTCGACGGCCTGGAGCACTAGCTCAGAGCCACGCAGCCAAGAACAGGGGGAAGGTCTAGACATTGCAGTTGGGGGGATTTGGGGTGTTGCTGTTAAGCGGATTATATAGGGGCTACATAGAAGTCAGGGTTAAAATGCCCTAGTGGAGAATCAGCTGCAAAAGGAAATTCAGAAGGACGGGGAGAGTGGGCTATGTAGGGGATATGTAGGGTCTAGGGAACAGATTTTAGGTACAGTTATTACAAAGAATCGCTAACATTTACGATGTAGCTACATGGTATTAGATTCTGAACAGCAACGCAGCCTGAAAGGATTGTGTGGGAGTTTGTGGAGTATAGCATATTAGATTTTTTTCGGGCTGTTGAGTCTGGAGGCCTGTAAGGTTCTGGGCTCAGGGTGCAGGAGTTTTTGGGGCTCTTTCTTGAAAGTCCTTCTGTCGTACGCGGGCGCCGCGTCTCAGGTTTGATACCACCTCAGTGTTTCTACTTTGTGGGGACATGATGACGCGTCACGATGCGTGGCACAGGGTGCAGAAGGGTCACAATGTCATGAACTTGCCCAAGCCAAGGCATCGTGATCAAACATGTGCATCCAGCCTGTCTGGATTGGATGATTCTGATGTTGAGCGGAGTCCTGAAGTTTATGCCCTCCAGCATGGATGACGTGTAGCAAGGATTGGCATTATCGCGGACAGGGATTCTCATGCACATCACTTGTCCGTGCAAATCTCTCGGCTCCACTCATACAAGCCACTATACCTTTTCCCAGCATTCACATTACGCACCACCATGATTATGGTTATCTCCTCTGCTGCTCCTTTTCCTCTTCGAGCCCACCCAGTCAGGGCTCGCCGCTGGCGACGCCGAGTCGGCGTTGCCGCCATGAAGCGCCAAGGAGCTACAGCTTGCTGTTGGGGGCATGCTATCTCCCCTCGGACTAACATGAAACCTGACAAGGGGCGTAGAAAGACTACGGTCCATTTAAGGGTGCCATGAGAGGAGGGTAACGGGTAATGTGTGGAGGCGTGTACCAGGCATCAGGGTTTAGGTGTTGCAGTAGTTCGATATACGAAGTGCCTTGCGGGCTTGTATGTCTTTAGTGAATTTGTGAGCTAACGAATAGGCTAGCTGCCGAAAGTCGGGGCACAACCAGCGCTCCTCCCAGAACTAGGTTTGCTTCGGAGAGGCCCTGACAGACGACCCTCATGCTTGAAAGCAACAAGAGTTGATGGCAGTTTGTAGAGAAAGAAGGAATGGATCGCTGCAATGGCTACGGAAGTCTCATTATGATCTCTTACAATCATCCCCATGTCCATCAGGAGGAATGGTTTCTGTAATTGTCCTTGCCGGCTGCAGGAGGCATTCTGCGGGTGAATGGCTTCCGGCTCGCAGAGTCCCTTTGCTGATGGGCTTTAGGGTCCTGGGCCATATCTGAAGATAGGGCTTCGCTTCCACCTTCCCAAGAATCAATGTAGCAATCATCTTTAACTTCTATTAGATAGGTCTTGGGAGTTAGTTTTTTTGAAGAGTGCAGGGTATTTGGTAGAAGGTGCCAATCCTGTATGCAAGGACGAGAAGTGTGCCCAACTTGGAGTTGGCAAAAAGCCGTCTGCACTGAGCTGCGCTCTATAACCTCATAGACTCCAACAAAACTCAGCATGATATGGTTTTAGGGCTTAGGGTTTAGCTACAGAGCAAAAGAAGTGATATTGAGCGATGAACGAAGCTTACACAAGATGGCAGCTGGAACCTGCCAGATTCATCTCGAGTCTCTTGGGGCCTTGCAAGCCTTGTTGCAGGTAGAAGTCGTCCACGCAGTAGCCTAGTCGAAGCTTTGAATTTGTTAGTATGCTTTCATTACTCCAATCGTATGGGAGTTGTTCAAAAGAATTCCTACATTGCGGTTTAGAGTTTGGAGGCAGCTATGTGATCTGCTGATGATGTCCATGTATGGGGCAACCAAAACAGCCTTAGTCATGTTTAGAAACCGAGCAGTAGTGGTTATAGTTGGAGAAATAATCTTTGAAGTGCTACTTCGATGCTTTGACACCGAGGTTGGAGGGCGCATCGCTGGAGGCAGCTGCCCTCTTCCTGAAAAGCAGCAGCGACGGTCTGCGCGTGGACCAGCTTCCTGAGAGGCCCCCGGCACTTCTCGCACAGGGCTTTGGGCATGTAGTCCCCCTTAAGTAGATAGAATATGGGATATATGGGGATCTTATGATTCTAATATACCCAAAGCCATAGTCTATCTACTTAAGGGGGACTATCTGTAGGCATGCCTTGCCAAGCCACCTTGAGCTCCTTGAACCCTAAGCTTTCCTCAGTACCTAGTCCATGAACCTGGAGAGCTGCGGTTTTTGCCTGCTTAGGATTAGAGCGAAAGGGCAAGTGGGGGAGCAGATCCCCATGAGGATGTATAAGATGCCCTTTCTGAGTCCTTATGTTCTCTTACCCGCCATTAAGTTGCAGGCTGCGCAGTGTGGGCCCAGCGGTTCTTCGCCGGCTCATTTCCTGCGGTGCATTGGAGCCGGCAGAATAGGGCCTGGGATGGATTCGAGTTCTCATGCTTGGGCTGCCCTGGGTCGGACAACTTATGTGGTTCAAAAGTATTTGTTCGAGGCTAAGTCCTGCATGAATACCCCTAAATACCTCATCCCGTGGAGGCAATGCAGAGCTTTTGGTATCAACGGTAGGTTGCTAGGTGACAGAGCTACTTAGTCCAGGCAGCCCAGCATACAACGCTCAGCTGCGCATCCAAAAAAGGGCCTGACAGAGCTTTCTGTGCTATAGGGCATATAGTGGGGTTACATAGGGGATAATGGAAAAGAACATGGAAACTACTATAATGGGTTATATAGGGGTTATACGATACCCGGGACCTGGAATGCAGACCTTGGATCAGTAAGAACTAAGGACCAGGAAATGGGAGTTTCTGGTTTAACCATGGATATTCCATGGCATGCGATGATGTGGAGACAGCTCAAGTCCGAACCAGGTAGTATCCTATAGTTCCCCATAGTTATTATCATCATAGGACACATTATTGTTCCTTGGGGGTGCAGGCCAAGAGGACACTGGGGGTGGCACGAGGGAAACACATTTTGCTCCCCGAGCCCATTGCGGCATCTGTGCCTGCATGTTCGTGTTTTCACTGATGCGTTTGCATCTTGCAGTTCTTGTGCTGCATGGTCGTCGCCCTTATTCCAT